GTCCAGATATATAAAGCAAATATTATTCGAGCTAAAGAGAGAGATACACCACATTCCATTAGCTGGAGACTTCAGTACTCTACTTTCAGCATTGGACAGATCATCCAGACATAAAATCAACAAAGAAACATTGGAATTAATCTGCACAAGAGACCCAATGGACCTAATAGATATTTACAGAACATTTCATCCAATGGTTGCAGGAGGCACATTCTACTCAGTCCATGTATCATTTTCAAGGAATGATATGTTAAGCCATAAAATAAGTCTTAAAACATTCAAAAACACTGAAATAATACCAAGTATCTTTTCCGACCACAATGGAATAAAACTAGAATTCAATTACAAGAAGAATTACGGAAATTTTACAAACACATGGAATTTAAACCATATGCTCCTGAATGACTATGTCAGTGTCAATGAAGACATTAAGTAGAAAATTGGAAAATTTATTGAAACAAATAATAACAGAAACACAACATACCAAAACCTATGGGATATACCAAAAGGGGAGTTTATAGATGTGTTTATGTCAAAAAAGTAGAAAAACTTCAAATAACCTAACAACACGTCTTAAAGAATTAGAAAAGAGCAAACTAAACTCAAAATTAGTAGAAGAAAATAAATAAAGATCAGAACTGAAACAAATGAAATTAAACTATAGAAAAGATGAATAAAATGAAAAGTTGTTTTTTTAAAAAAAAATAAAGAAAACTGACAAAACTTTATCCAGACTAAGAAAAAAAAAAAAGAAAGAAGACCCAAATAAATACAATCAGAGATAAAAAAAAAAAAAGGAGACGTGACAACTAGTACCACAGAAATTCAAAGGACCACTAGAGACTACCATGAGCAACTATATGCCAACAAATTGGAAGATCTAGGAGAAATGGATAAATTCCTAAACACATACGACCTACCAAGATTGAATCATGAAGAAATATAAAACCTGAACAGACTAATAACAAGTAATGAAATTAAAGCTGTAATAAAAAGTCTCCCAGCAAAGAAAAGCCCAGGACCTGATGCTTCACTGCTGAATTTTGCCAAATATTTAAAGAACTAATACCAATCCTCACAAAGTCTTCGAAAAAATAGAGAAGGGAATACTTCCAAACTCATTCTGTGATGTCAGTATTACCCTGATACTAAAAGCAGACAAAGACACATTAAAAAAGAAAACTACAGGCCCACATCCCTGGTGGAACTTGATGCAAAAATCCTCAACAAAATGCATGCAAACCAAAGTCAACAACACATTTAAAAGGTCATTTATCATGACCAAGTGGGATTCATCCCAGTTATGCAATGATGGTTCAAAATATGCAAATAAATCAGTGTGAAACATCATATCAACAGAATAAAGAACAAAAACCATATGATCATTTCAATTGATGCTGAAAAAGCATTTGATTAAATTCAACATTGAATATAGAAGAAACATATCCAACATAATAAAAGCCACATATGACAGACTCACAGCTAGTATCACACTAAATGGGGAGAAAATGAAAGCCTTTTCTCTAAATCTGGAAGGCCATAGAGGACAAGGGTGCCCAGTTTCCCCACTGTTATTCAATGTAATACTGGAAGTCCTAGCTAGAGCAATCAGAAAAAAGAAAGAAACAAAGGGCATCCAAGTTGGAAAAGAAGTCAAACTCTCCTTGTTTGCAGATGATATGATCTTATATTAGGAAAAACCTAGACTCCACCAAAAAACTATTAGAACTGATAAACAAGTAAAGTTACAGGATACAAAAATCAACATACAAAAATCAGTACCTTTTCTATATGCCAAGAGTGAATAATTTGAAAAAAAAATCAAGAAAGTAATCTCATTTACAATAGCTACACATAAAATTAAGTACCTAGGAATCAACCTAAGAAGTGAAAGATCTCTATAATAAAAAATATAAAACATTGATGCAAGAAATTGATGAGGACGCCAAAGAATGGAAAGATATTCTATATTCATGAATTGCAAGAACCAATATTGTTAAAATGTCCCCACTACTCAAAGCAATGTACAGATTCAATGCACTCCCTATCAGAGTACCAATTATATTCTTCACAGAATTAGAAAAACGATTATAAAATTTATATTGAGCCACAAAAGACCCAGAATATCCAAAGCTATCCTGGGCAAAAAGAACAAAGCTGGAAGAATCACATTACCTGACTTTAAACTGTATCACAGAACTACAGTAACCAAAATAGCACAGTAGTCACATAAAAAAAGACACACAGACCAGTGGAACAGAATGAGAAATCCAGAAACAAATCCATACGTCTACAGTGAACTCATTTTTGACCAAGGTGCCAAGAACAAACATTGGATAAAGGGCAGTTTCCTCAACAAAAGGTGCAGGAAAAATTGGATATCCATATGCAGAAGAATAAAACTAGACTCCTGTCTTTTGTCATATACAAAAATCAAATTAAAATGGATTTACCACTTAAATCTGAGACCTCAAATTATTAAACTACTAAAAGAAAATGCTGTGGAAATTCTGCAGGATATTAGACTGGGCAAAGATTTCTTGAGTAGTACCTCATGAGCACAGACAACCACAGGAAAAATGGACAAATGGGATCATATCAAGTTAAAAAGCTTTTGTACAACAAAGGAAACAATCAACAAAATAATGAAGAGGCAATCCACAGAATGGGAGAAAATACTTTTAAACTATCCATCTAACAAGGGATTAATAACTATTAATAGAATATACATGGAGTTCAAACAGCTCCATAGGAAAAAAAGTAATAGTAATTTAATAATCTGATTTTAAAATGGGCAAAATATCTGAACAGACATTTCTCAAAAGGAGACATACAAATGCCTACCAGGTTGTATTAGGGTTCTCTAGAGGGAAGGGACTAATAGGATAGAAGTATATATGAAAGGGAGTTTATTAAGGAGTATTGACTTACACAAATCACAAGGTGAAGTCCCACAATAGGTCGTCTGCAAGCTGAGAAGCAAGAAAGTCAGTTAGAGTCCCAAAACCTCAAAGGTAGGGAAGCCAACAGCGCAGCCTTCAGTCTGTGGCTGAAGGCCTGAGAGCCCCTGGCAAACCACTGGTGTAAGTCCAATAGTCCAAAAGCTGAAGAACTTGGAGTCTGATGTTCAAGCGCAGGAAGCATCCAGTAAGGGAAAAAGATAAAGGCCAGAAGACTCAGCCAGTCTAGTCCTTCCACATTCCTCTCCCTGTTTTTATCCTAGCTGCACTGGCAGCTGATTAGATGGTGTCCACCCAGACTGAGGGTGGGTCTGGCTCTCCCAGTCCACTAACTCAAATGTTAATCTCCATTGACAACACCCTCACAGACACACCCAGGAACAATACTTTGCATCCTTTAATACAGTAAAGTTGACACAAAACTAACCATCACACAGGTATACGAAAAAGTGTTTTTATCACTGATCATCAGGGAAATGCAAATCAAAGTGACAATGAGATATCATCTCACTTCAGTTAAAATGACTTTTATCTACAAGACAGGCAATAACAAATGTTGGCAAGGATACGGAGAAAAGGGAACCCTTGTACACTGTGGGAATGTAAATTAGTACAACCACTATGGAGAACAGTTTGGAGGTTCCTCAAAAAAACAAAAATAGAGCTACCATAAGATTCAGCAACTCCACTGTTAGGTATATACCCAAAAGGAAGGAAATCAGTATATTGAAGATGTATCTGCACTCTGTGTTTATTGTAGCACTATTCACAATAACCAAAATTTGGAAGCAACCCAAGTGTCTGTCAACAGATGAATGGATAAAGAAAATGTGGTATATATACAAAATGGAGTATTATTTGGCCATAAAAAAAGAATGAGATCTTGTCATCTGCAACAACATGGATGGAACTGGAGGTCATTATGTTAAGCAAAAAAAAGCCAGGCACAAAAACACAAACTTCATATGTTCTCATTTATTTGTGGGAACTGAAATTCCCACAAATAAATTTCAAACTGAAATTGGAAGCAACTGAAATCATGGAGACAGACAGTAGAAGGATAATTACCAGAGGATAGGAGGAGTAGTGGAGAGAATGGGAGAGAGAGAAGAAGAAATAGTTAATGGGTACAAAAAACAGAATGAATAAGGTCTAGTATTTGACAGTTGAATGGGGTGACCATACTCAACAATAATTTAATTTTACATTTAAAAATAACTAAAAGATTATCATTGGATTATTTTTAACACAAAGGGTAAGTGCTTGAGGCTATGGATACCCCATTTACCTTGATGTGATTATTTTATATTGTATGCCTGCATTAAAATATCTCATGTACCCCATAAATATATACACCTACTATGTATCTACAAAAATTAAAAACTAACAATATTTTTAAAAAGTATTAACCTTCTGAAGGAAGTCATGTCTTATATTAAAAAAAAAGATAGGATATCTCTCTTGAAAAATAAAACGTAAGGCCGGGCGCGGTGGCTCACGCCTGTAATCCCAGCACTTTGGGAGGCTGAGACAGGCGGATCACGAGGTCAGGAGATCGAGACCATCTGGGCCAACACGGTGAAACCCTGTCTCTACTAAAAATACAAAAAATTAGCTGGGTGTGGTGGCGGGTGCCTGTAGTTCCAGCTGCTCAGGAGGCTGAGGCAGGAGAATGGTGTGAACCTGGCAGGCGGAGCTTGCAGTGAGCCGAGATCGCGCCACTGTACTCCAGCCTGGGCAACAGAGCAAGACTCCGTGTCAAAAATAAATAAATAAATAAATAAAATAAAAATAAAAAGTAAGGGAACCTGGGCATTCAAAAGTTTGATAATTTGCCAATGGTCATTTGGATTAGTCCATACACTTTTCCTTTTGATAACATTTTTATTAACTCTACAGGTACTAAGAATTTAAAAAATTGTTGGCAACTAAAATAAAGAAAATCTGCACTGGAATTAGCTTCTGCAGTAGATTACATTATATAACTTTTACTTTACTTTTGTTAAATGATTCACTGCTTTAGAATTGCTATAGTTTTACCTCAAGGCTTTTCTTTATATGTTCAAGATGTATATTACAATTTTGCAGAATTTCAAGGACTCCTGCAGAAGTGGTTATTTGCAAAGCATTCTGCTTGTTTTGTATTTTTGACATTATTTTTTTCCACATGGAAATCACTTGAGAGAAAAGTTCTGTTTCTGCTGGGAGTTGCCTTTAGAAACAAAATTAGATGTCATTTTATTTTTTTGAAGGCACTATAATTAAAATCTATAATGTAATGCATTGCCATGGAATACTGTTTGAGTTACAAAACATTTGATGTTAAATTTTATTGATAAATCATCAAAGATAGGTTTTAAGTGCCTATTATGTACAAGTGATGTACATGGTAAGAAATGGATAAATTAGACACAACAACCATCATTTAACAAGATTATACTTAGTATACAGTGGAAGACAGATATATAGAAATTCTACATAAGGTAAGTAGAAATAATTTGTGTCCTAAGAAATGTAATAAAACAAAGGGTTACTGACATTCTGGAGCAGAAATGGTATCTGCCAAGAGCTTCTTGGAGAAGACACTATTTAATCCGTGTTTTAAAGGAGTAGAGCTTTGATGTGAATAGAAGACACAGACGGCATTCAGCTTAGAAGCAAGAGTATAGAGGTATGTATAAAAACACTGAAGTTCTATTAATGGTTATCTCATCTTAGAGGATAAGAAAATGTAAGGGCCATGTCAGCCTTGGTATATAAATTTTCCTTTACAGAATATTATCATTATTTTCTCCCTTTGGAAAAGGGAAGCAAAACCCACATGTGAGGTGATAAACCATTAATATATTTAGTTTTGTTTCTGCTGTTATTGGAATTGAATGAGGGAGATATTTTCTACAATTATATAGTTGCATTCTTTCACTTTTTTTCTCTTCACCTGTATTTCCTACCCCTCTCCCACCCTAGCCTCAACCTGATTCAAACTCCTCTTGACTCTGAAGTTGAAGAGGGGAGGAATTTAGAGGGACTTTTTTTTTCTTAACTCAGCTAGTGTTACTTTGAATCCTCTTTTGCCTCTTGCATGCCCTCTGTCATGGCAGATATCCATAAGCTACATTGCTGGAGATTTCAGAGCACCCCAACAGGAACCTCTATATCGCAACCTCTTGGCACTTGCCAGCTGACCTCTTACAACCATTCCTCAAGCTCCTGCTCTAAGTAATACACTTCTGGGACTCCCTTGTCCTGCCATTTTGGGGTGGAGATCTTCCAAGGTGGCTCTAGCTTGGAAACTCCTACTATGTCTGTCAGGATTTCTCAGTTTCTGCACTGTTAACATTTTGGACTACATAATTCTTTGTTTGGTGTGGGGGGTTGGAGGTAGGGAGAGGTTCTGGTGCATTGTAGAATGTTCAACAATATCCTGACCTATACCCATGAGATACCAGTAGTATCCCCTCAGTTGTGACAAGTAAAAATGTTTCCAGACTGTGAAATGTCCCCCAGAGGTCAAAAAATCACCTCTGGTTGAAAACCACTGGTCTAAGATAACCATGTATTCTTGTACTTCTTCCTTGCTCTGTTATTAAAGGCTGCTTTAAAATTCTCCAGAGAAGAGGCAAGCGCTAGTTTCTAATGTCCCTACACTCTAGGGAAATACAAGTCAAAATCTCCCAAGAACCTTTCCACTATTATCCCATTCCCTATCTTGCATGATGGACCTAGAAGTTTTCTGTAGCTCAGCAAAAATCCTATCAAGGAGGAGACTTCAGTCTCACCTTCTCTTAAGTATCCTTCCAATGTCTCTGGGATGTCCTAGCACAGCCCTCATAGTTAGTTTGGAGCTCTGGTAAACAGCACTGCATTCTATACTCTCATATATTCCCTTTAGATAGTCTGCCCCTGTAATGCATCTCTTGTCCCATTCTTCTTCTTCATGCTTTGTCCCTGGTATCAGGGCTCATCATCCTGCTCCATTACTCAAAGGCAGATCCATTATAGACCCACTTTTTCTTTTCTTTAGATCTATTATATAGATGCCTTAAGAATCCTATAGTTGAAAACATCTTTTTCAACTTCAGAAAATCCTATAAAGGAACCATTTAGTGACACTTTGAACGCTCTTGCCAAGGATTCTGATCTTTAGTAAAAGGTAGTATTAAAGTTTAAACTTAAGGCTCAACGTTGTTGCATCCATAAGGACATACACCTTAGATATGTGGTTTCACCTTTGAGAACTTTCAGAACAACTACAGATCAATCAAATAAAAGAATCCCAAGCATTCGTATAAGAAATATACATGTGTAACACATATAAGAAATATACATGTGTAATACAAATGGATATTGTTCCCCACAAAGCAATACTTATATTTAAACTGTTCCCTTTTGTAATCTAATGGCTTCCCTTTGCCTCCAAAATAAAATACAAAATACTTGACATAATATTTTGCATTTATGTAAGCCTTATTACTTGACTTATTTTCTAAGCCTTATTACTTGACTATTGGTATAAAAATATAAAGAGCTAAGAAAGAATTGCTAATACATCATTATTGGCTGGGCACATTCACTCACGCCTGTAATCCCAGCACTTTGGGAGGCCGAGGCAGGTGGATCACTTGAGGTCAGGAGTTCAAGACCAGCCTGGCCAACATGGTGAAACCCTGTCTCTACTAAACATACAAAAATTAGGTGGGCATGGTGGTGGGCACCTGCAATCCCAGCTAAAATGATATAATATTTTACACTTGTGTATTTATGTAGCAACCCTGGCTGTATTTTTTTTTAAGATGTGGGGTTTCCCTACGTTGCCCAGGATGGCCTCAATATTATGACATAAGATTTTCCAGATTTTCCATTGCTATAATAGGCCTTTCAAATACACACCCAATGTTTTCCTACCTTATTTCAGAATGGCTGCTAAACTAGCTTGTATGATTTGCTATCAATAGTTTAAATTCTGCCTAATTTATTTGTCTCAACTTGAGCACCCTTAAGACCAATCACTTTAAAAAGTCAGAGGTCAATTAATTGGAATGGTATGGTGTTTTTTAAAGGTGGAATTTTTAACAATTGCCCAGGCCCTCTATTCTTCCATCTGGCGCAAAGTAATAGTAATAAATTTATTTATTTATTTATTTATTTTCTTGAAACAGTGTCTCTCTGTAGTATGGATCAGGCTGGGGTGCCATCGTGCAGTCACAGCTCATTGCAGCCATGGCCTTCTGGGTCCAAGCCATCCTCTCACCTCAACCTCCCAAGTTGCTGGGTGGGACCACAGGCATGTGATACCAACCCTGGCTGGGTTATTTCTGGTTTTTTTTTTTAGACATGGGGTTTCCCTATGTTGCCCAGGATGGTCTCAAACTCCTGTGCTCAGGTGATCTTGGCCTCTCAAAGTGTTGGGATTACAGGCATGAGCCATCACACTCAGCCTAAGAAATTCTTACTAATGTATGAATGCTACTAAAAACATGTTTATGATTCACATCAAAACCACACTAGTATTCCAGAACGAAAGAGACACATAATATTGTAGTTTTGGGATTATAATGATGTATCTGATACTTTTTTAAAAATACAGAGCAATGCTCTGTCGCCCAGGCTGGAGCAGTGGCACAATCTTGGCTCACTGCAACCTCCACTTCCCAGGTTCAAGTGATTCTCCTGCCTCAGCCCCCCGAGTAGCTGGGATTGCAGGTGCCCACCCCCATGCCCACCTAATTTTTGTATGTTTAATAGAGACAGGGTTTCACCATGTTGGCCAGGCTGGTCTTGAACTCCTGACCTCAAGTGATCCACCTGCCTCGGCCTCCCAAAGTGCTGAGATTACAGGCGTGAGTGAATGTGCCCAGCCAATAATGATGTATTAACACTTCTTTCTTAGCTCTTTATATTTTTATACCAATAGTCAAGTAATAAGGTTTACAAAAATGTGCTTATAATCTTCTATGAAAGAAAAATAATAATGATTCGGCAAATTATACTCCTGTGTCTATAAGTAGGATAGGATAGCTTGACTGTTCATTGAAGAAATGATTTCTCAAGAATTAAAGAAAATAAATTACTCACAATGCATTTTTAGCCCGTATATGGTATTTTACCTTCTTATTTCTGAAGAATGAAAGATTGGTTCAAGATAAAGCCAATTTCTTTGACAATTCATCCATTCCTCAAGGGTGTAAGAGAAGAGAGTCAAGTTTTGATCCCATTCATTCACAAGATCCTACAATGATAGAAACAGATATACAAACAAATCTAAATATATAAAATTCTTCTTTAAGAGTTACATAACAGAAACAGATCAAAGGTGATTATCAGTCATTGACATACAGAAATAATTAATAGAAGGTCACATAAATGAATACAGATCTAATTATATTTAGTTGTAGGAGAGGTTTAAGATGTCCTGTTCATCCATTTGCTGTCATATTTATTATACAACAAGCAAATATTTTTGTAAAAGATTTGAGTAACACACATATACATGTAGAAATTAACATGTATGTCTAGCACTCAACACTTATTTCCTACTTCTTATCACAGAGGAAACATAACCAGAAATGTGATATGCATATTATTTCAGTCCTTTCTTTAAGCATAATTTCACATATAGATACACATACAATATCCCTAATGTATTATATAAATATAAATACAACCATATTATATACGTTGTTTTATAACTTGCCTTTCATAACAAATAATGTCTTCTAGAGAGGTTTTATGTCAGTACTTACACGTTTTCTTCACTATTTTAATGATTTCAGAAAATTCCATTGTATGGCTATAGTGTCTTTTTCCAAACTTTTATATGTTTATTAAAATAATAGGAAAATGGTTAAAAATAAATTAATACTAAAAGGCTTATTTGGAAACCAGTGGACTTGCCCATCGCCTAACTCTCTGGCTCCTCATGGGGAACCATTTATAACTCATTTATATTTGACTTCTGGTACTTACCTCCATATTTCTTACTTTTTAACTTTATTTTATATTTCAATAGCTTTATTAAGGTATCACTGATACACAAGAAACTGCACATACTTAAAGTATACAATTTTGTCCGTGCACAGTGGCTCACACCTGTAATCCCAGCACTTTGGGAAGATGAGGCACGCAGATCACTTGAGGTCAGGAGTTTCAGACCAGCCTGGCCAACATGGTGAAACCCCATCTCCACTAAAAATACAACAACAACAACAACAACAACAACAACAAATTAGCCAGGCATGGTGGCAGGTGCCGGTAATCCCAGATACTCAGTGGGCAGAGACTGTGCCACTGCACTCCAGCCTGGGTGACAAAGCAAGACTCCATATCAAAAATAAATACATTAATTAAAGTATACAATTCTATGAATTTTAACATGTTCTTCTACCTGTCAAATGACCACTACAATCAAGATAACAAACATATCCATTACCCTGAAAGCGTTCTTTGTGTCCTGTTGGAATTCCTTCCTCCTATCCCTTCCTACCCCTACCACCAGGCAACCACTGATCTACTTTCTGAAACTATAGTTTGTATTTTCCAGAATTTTATATAAACAGAATCATATAACATGTATTCCCTTTGCTCTGACTTCTTTCACTTAGCATAATTATTTTGAGACTGATCCATATTGTTACTTATATCAATAGTTCATTCCCTTTTTCTGTATAACTTTTAGGTTCACGAGTACATGTGCAGATTATACAAGTAAATTGCATGTCACAGGGATTTGGTATACAGGTTATTTTGTTACCCAGGTAATAACATAGCACACAATAGGTAGCTTTTTTATCCTCACCCTTCTCCAACCCTCCACCCTCAAGTAGGCCCCAGTCTCTGTTGTTCCATTCTTTGTGTCCATGTGTACTCAATGTTTAGCTCCCATTTATGAGTGAGAACATGCAGTATTTGGTTTACTGTTCCTGTCTTAGTTTGCTTAGGAAAATGACCTCCATCTCCATCCAAGATGCTACAAAGAACATGATCTCATTCTTCTGGCTGTATAGTATCCCTTGGGGTATATGTACCACATTTTCTTTATCCAGTCTACTGTTGATGGGCATTTAGGTTGATTCCACATCTTTGCTATTGTGAATAGTACTGTGATGAACATAAGCATGCATGTGTCTTTATGATAGAACAATTTTATATTCCTTTGGGTATATAGCCAATAATGGGATTGCTAGGTTGAATGGTAGTTCTGTTTTAGGTACTTTGAGAAATCACCACACTAATTTACATTCCCACCAGCAATGTATAAGCATTCCCTTTTCTCTGCAACCTCACCAGCATCTGTTATTTTTTGACCTTTTAATAATAGCCATTCTGACTGGTGTGAGATGGTATCTTATTGTGGTTTTGATTGGTATTTCTCTCATGATTAGTGATGAGAAATGTTTCATATGCTTGTTGGCCATGTGTATGTCTTCTTTTGAAAAGTGTCTGTTCATGTCCTTTACTCACTTTTTAATGGAGTTGTTTGTTTTTTACCTGTAAATGTGTTTAAGTTCCTTATAGATTCCGGATATTATACCTTCATCAGATGCATAGTTTGCAAAAATTTTTTCCCATGCTATAGGTTGTCTGTTTACTCTGTTGATAGGTTTTTTTTGTTTGTTTTTTGTTTTTTGTTATTTTTTTCCCTGTGCAGAAGCTCTCTAGTTTAATTAGGTCCCATTTGTCAATTTTTGTTTGTATTGCAATGGCTTTTGGTGACTTTGTTATGAAATCTTTGCCTTGGCTCCTAGAATGGTATTTCCTAGGTTATTTTCCAGGGCTTTTACAGATTTAGGTTTTACAGTTAAGTCTTTAATCCATGTTTAATTGATTTTTGTATATGTTGAAAGGAAGGGTTCCAGTTTCAATCTTCTGCATATGGCTAGCCAGTTATTCCATAGAATATAAAATTCTTTCCCTGTGTCTTGTTTTCATCAACTGTGTCAAAGATCAGATGGTCATAGGTGTGTGGCTTTATTTCTGGGTTCTCTATTCTGTTCCACTGTTCTATGTGTCTGTTTTTGTACCAGTACCATGCTGTTTTGGTTACTGTAGCCTTGAAGTATAGTTTGAAGTTAGGTGATGTAATGCTTCCAGCTTTGTTCTTTTGCTTAGTATTGACTTGGCTATTTGGGCTCTTTTTGGTTTCATATGAATTTTAAAACATTTTTCTAATTCTGTGAAGAATGTCATTGGTAGCATGATAAGAACAGCACTGAATCTGTAAAACGCTTTGGGCAGTATGGCCATTTTAGTAATATTGATTCTTCCTATCCATGAGCGTGGGATGGTTTTCTCTTTTGTTTGTGTCATCTCTGATTTCTTTGAGCAAGCTTTGTAATTCTTGTAAAGATGTTTCACTTTCCTGGTTTGCTGTATTCCTAGTATCATATTCTTTTTGTGCCTATTGTGAATGGAACTGATTCTTGATTTGGCTCTCAGGCTGGATGTTGTTGGTGTACAGAAATGCTACTGATTTTTGTACATTAACTTTGTATCCTGAAACTTTGCTGAAGTTGTTTATCAGATCTAGGAGCTTTTGTGCAGAAATACGTGGCATTTTCTAGGTAGAGAATCATATGGTCTACAAACTGAGACAGTTTGACTTCCTTTCTTCCTATTTGGATGCCTTTCATTTCTTTCTCTTCCCTAATTGCTCTGGCTAGAACTTCTAGCACTATGGTGAATAGGAGTGATGAGAGATAGCATCCTTGTCTTCTTCTGATCTCCAAGGGGAATGCTTCCAGCTTTTGCTTATACAGTATGATGTTGGCTGTGGGTTTGTCATATATGGCTTTTATTATTTTGAAGTATGTTCCTTGAAAGCCTAGTTTGTTGAGGGTTTTTAACATAAAGGAATGTTGAATTTTATCAAAAGCTTTTTCTGCATCTATTGAAATAATCATGTGATTTTTGTTTTTAGTTCTGTCTATGTGATAAATCACATTTATTCATTTGTGTATGTTGAGCCAGCTTTGCATCCTAGGATAAAGTCTGCTTCATCAGAGTGGCTTAGATTTTTTGATGTGCTGCTGGATTCAGTTTGCTAGTATTTGTATGTCCATGTTCGTCAAGGATATTGGCCTGAAGTTTTTTTTCATTGTGTTCTGCCAGGTTTTGGTATCAGGATGATTCTGGCATCACAGAATGAGTCCCTCCTCCTGAACTTTTTGGAATCATTTCAGTAGGAATGGTACCAGCTCCTTTATACATCTGGTGGAATTTGGCTGTGATCTATTCTTGAGCTTTTTATTACATATTCAATTTTTGAACTCATTACTGGTCTGTTCAATGATTCAATTTCTTCCTGGTTCAGTCTTTGGAGGTTGTATGCGCCCAGAAATTCATCTCTTTCTTCTAGTGTTTCTAGTTTGTGTGCATAGTGGTGTTCATAGTAGTCACTGAAGGTTTCTTGTATTTCTGTCAGATCAGTGGTAATGTGCCCTTTGTCATTTATAATTGCGTTTATTTGGATCTTCTCTATTTTTTTCTTATGATTGTAGCTAGAAGTCTGTGTATCTTAATTTTTCCAAATTACCAACTCCTCAACTCAGTCTTTTGGATGGCTTTCCACATCTCAATTTCCTTCAGTTCAGCTCTGATTTGGGTTATTTATTATCTTCTCCTAGCTTTGGGGTTGGTTTGCTCTTGTTTCTCTAATTCCTCTGGTTGTATTGTTAGGTTGTTAATTTGAGCTCTTTCTTTTTCATGTGGGAGTTTTAGATTGTTAATTTGAGCTCTTTCTTTTTCATGTGGGAGTTTAGTGCTATAAATTTCCCTGTTAACATTGCATTAGCTGTATCCCAGATATCTGGTATGTTGTATATTTGTTCTCATTAGTTTCAAAGAATTTCTTAATTTCTCTCTGAATTTCATTATTTACCCAATAGTCATTCAGGATCAGGTTATTCAATTTCCATGTAATTGTATGGTTTTGAGAAATTTTCTTAGTATTGATTTCTATTTTTATTGCACTGTGGACTGAGAGTGTGGTTGGTATGATTTAACTATTTTAAGTTTGCTGAGAATTGTTTTCTGTGCCATGTACATAGGAGAAGAATGTACATTCTGTTGTTTTGGGGTGAAGAGTTCTGTAGATTTCTATTAGGTCCATTTGATCAAGTGCAAAGTTCAGGTCCTGAATATCTTTGTTAATTTTCTGCCTCAATAATCTGTCTAATACTGTTAGCAGGGCATTGAATTCTCTCACTATTATTGTGTCATTATCTAAGTCTC